GGTGAACCAACGGCAAAAGAAAGACCTTTCTCTCTCTCTCTCTCTCTCTCACTGTCCACTCTGCCTGTCAAAAAAAAAAAAAAAAAAAAAGGTAACTGCTGAACAGACGGTGAACAGCCAGCCGTGTATCAGTAACATGCCGCCCCGGTGATTGCGAAGGGACTTAGATGAATCGGTGACCGTGGACCTGCAGAATCTCTCAGGCTCTTCCAAACGATGCCTGTAGCAATGTCTGGCATGAGTCAGTGGAATTTAGCTGTCATATTTCTCTCGACTGACCACCATAACCCTTCAGTAACTGATCTAGTAAATTAGTAACTCCCATCATACAGCAGCTTAAACTTTCTGGAGTTCAGGATCACTGGCCGAAAATAGACTCTGGCTGTAGAATGTCCGGCATGACGAGGACAGAAGAGTTCAGACAACATTTGCTCGTGAAAAGTTTCAATATTTCAATCCACAGACTAATGTTTAAGTTCAGAACAGAAGTCTTAAGTTTTTGTTTGTTCTGTGAATGGAGAGTGTCTGGGTGATGGTTTCCCTTCACCCCCTGCCTCGCTGCAAGACAATACAACACAACACAACAGGGCTGAAGCTCGGTCTGCAGAGAGCTTGGGACCAGTTGCTTTCTCCAGACTGCTGGAAAAAATCTCAGGAAGAAGCAAGATTTCTCTTTAGAGATGGTGCTGTTGCTCTGGAGAGAAAGAGAAGACAAAATGTTCCTGATTTGGCCTGAATCATTCCAGGAAAGAAAAGTCCTAGTCCACAACACTTGTCAGATATGGTCCAAGGAACCCACCCGAGAACCACTGCAGGAAGCACATTAGATTTACAGATTCCTACCCAGGAATGTGAATCTGAATTTCTGAAGGCAAAGACCTAATCCCTCCAGCTGATTTTCAGAGTTACACCATTTTTTTAAAGATTTATTTATTCATTTAAAAGTCAGAGTTACAGAGAGGCAGAGGCAGAGAGAGAGAGAGAGAGAGAGATCCTTTCCAAATGGCCTCAATGGCCGGAGCTTGATCAATTCGAAGCCAAGAGCCAGAGCTTCTTCCACGTCTCCCACATGGGTGCAGGGGCCCAAGGACTTGGGCCATCTTCTACTACTTTCCCAGACGCATTGGCAAGGAGCTGGATTGGAAGTGGAGGAGCCAGGACTTGAACTGGTGCCCATATTGGATGCCCTCACTGCAGTCAGTGGTTTATCCACTACACCACAGTGCTGGCCCCAGTCACACCATCTTATGAGAAGATACAAATGTCTTTGTAGTACACTCATATTTTGCAACAGTGGAATTCTATTTCTTGGTTTAGGTGAAAAAGAAGAAGAATACGAGGAGGAGGAGGAGGAGGAGGAAAAGCATGAGACCCAGAGCCTCTCACTTCTGTCTCTGTTCCTTAACTAATTCTCACACAGAAGTGCCTTATAGTTTTTGGATTTCAGTTTCCTTTTCTATAAATGGGACTAAAAAAACCATCATTTAAAGAAACATCATAATTCCTGTCCACCTTACCTTAAAGATGAAATGAGACAATCAAAAGAGAAATGCTTTTTTCCCCTAAGTTTATTTATTTGAGAGATGACAGGGAGAGAAGGAGAGCACCAACCTTGAGTTCACTCTTCAAATGCCCACAATGGCTGGACTGGGCTGGGCCAACGCTGGGAACTAGGAACTCAATCCACGTCTTCCACATGGGTGTAGAAGGAACTCCCTCACTTGAGCCATTATGGCTGCCCTCCCAGAGTCTACACTGGCAGGAAACAGAACGTAGAAGCCAGAACCAGATATCAACCCTAATATGGGTGGGGCATTCTTTATTTTTTTAAAAGATTATTTTATTTGAAAGGCAGAGTTAAAGAGAGAGAGAGAGAGAGAGAGAGAGAGAGAGAGAGAGGTGTCTTCCATCTGCTGGCTCATTTCCTAGATGGCTGCAACAGCCAGAGATAGGCCGATCTGAAGCCAGGAGCCAGGAGCTTCTTCTGGGTCTCCCACGTGGGTGCAGGGGCCCGAGGACTTGGGCCATCTTCTGCTGCTTTCCCAGGCCACAGCAGAGAGCTGGATTGGAAGAGGAGCAGCCAGGTTTCGAACCAGCACCCACATGGGATGCCGGTGCTTCAGGCCAGGGCGTTAATCCGCTGTGCCACAGTGCCAGCCCCCCCAAAAAGAAATACTTTGAGAACTAAAAATATATAGTTCTGTCATAACAGTTATTTTGTCTACAAAGGTTCTATAGTTCAAGAGTCTCAACTAATGTTATTTCTAGCTAAATGATAACCAGTCTTCTTAACCTGGCTGTTTTTATGCAAATGGAGAAGGATTTTCCATATGCGATGAGCCATCTAGCCCTGAGCATCAATAAGATGGTTCAGATGTTGAAGAACCAGACAGGGGTCATTGAAGCCCTTAACACATCATTCTAGAATTGCAAAATTCCTGTCTCAAGCAGGCACTGAGAAGCAGGGGGGGGATCTTAATACACTTCCCAAAGCATACTGTGTTATTGCACTTTCAGGAAGCTGCTGAAGTCAGAACTTTCTGGAGCCAAAGCAATGCCCCACTATCTTTTGAATGCTTGCTTGTGGAAATATTTTTCCTGTTTCGAGCAATATATGCATACATATATATATATCATAAATAAAATGAATATTACGTGTGTGTGTGTGTGTGTGTGTGTGTAACAAGCCAACATGATGCATTTTTGGACAGCTCTTTCCCGGGATTCTAGTCTCCTGGGCCCCAGATGTGAATCCTCAATAATGGGACAAAGACTTTGTCCTACATTTAGTTGATATATAAGAACTCTCTACTACCCACTTAAATTGCCTACCTGAGTCTTTAGTCTGAGAAAGGTTGTCTCCTTCACATGACACATTCTTAGACATGTTCAATTGGACTAAGTCAAGCACTTAACAGTCCTGTACACAGTGTTCATCTTTATTTATATATAGAGGTATTTATTTCTTTGAAAGGTGGAAGAACACCTTCCATACCCTGATTCATTCCCCCAAATGCCCACAACATCCAAGGCTGGACCAGGTCAAAGTCAGGAGCTGAGGACTCCATCTGGGTCTCCCATGTGGGTAGCAGGGACTCAAGTATTTGGTTCATCATCCGCTGTCTTCCTGAGAGCTTTAGTGGATTGGAAGCAGACTAGCTGGGACTTGAACCAGCACTCTGATAGGGGATGCCAGGGTCACAAGTGGCGGCTTAACCCATTGCACCACATCAGCCCCGCAGCAGGTGATGTTTCGTCCCCGACAGCTCTTCCATACTTCACTCCGGCATAATCCTACAGGTGCCTGTCCGATCATTGCTTTGAATATGCGTGTTTTCCAGGAAACAGCCATTGAAGACAGAATTCTGAAAAGCCTCTATCTAGCCCTAGGAGAAAGCGAGGCAAGGCTGGTGGAGGAGTGAGAAGACAGAGAGCGGGAAGGAGGGCCCTTGGCTTAGCTTCTTTGAGGGAGACAGCCCTCTCATTTCCAAGTGCAGGATGCAAGAGCTTCAAGACACTAAGGCACAGAATATGAACTTGAAAAAATGACAATGATGACGATGATGGTGGTGAGTAGCTGTCATGTTTTAAGCCTTTACTATGTGGTAGACACTGTGCTATGTGCTTTCCATGTGTTATTGCATTGCATTCTTACAAAGTATGGGGTAAGATAGATGTTTATCGCCATTTCACAGGTAAGAAAACTGAGGGTTAGAAAAGTTGACATTTTGTTCAGTCATACAACTAGTAGGTGGCAGATCTGGACCAGCGTCTGTCGTCTTCTTTTTCTGTTCCTCCTGTCCTGTTTCAGATTATAAAATAATTCTGGCTCATTTCTGCCTACACAGACGCTTGTAGCTCACACCCTGTGTTCTTCTGTGTCTGTTTATCTGGAAGTTGTTTGTGTGGTATTGATGGTCCCTTGGGTCTGATTAGGCTTTCTTGGTCCTAGAAATCCTGTTTTCTGTTACTGCTGGCTATAGGGGGAAAGTTACAAAGGAAATGTGAGCGCGAGGATTCTTTTGACCAGAGTTTTGAGGCCTCCTGACAATCAGCTACCTCTCCACCCTGAAGACTCACGGACTAAGCACAGGGAGTGAGTGATGTGCACAAAAGTGCAAAGGCCAAGGCAAAACACAAAGGAAAGGAGGCCAAGGCGGGCACAGCCGAGAGGGTCCCGAGTGCGGCCCTACTCCCCAGCACCCTGCCCTGGTGACCAAGTTTTGCTCTCCTGAAGAGGAAGGGCTGGCTTCATGGGGGGACTTTAGAGCCATGCCTGGTAAGCCAGGCTGGGCCAGAGGTGAGTAACAGCTTCATATGCTAAAATAAAACAAAACAAAAATGCTGACGGGAGTCGCGGGGCATGGAGCAATTCTGGAATGAGCGTCTTCCTTCCTCTGAAGGACAGTGTCCACCAGGAAGTCTATACAGGAACATCTCTGCTGATGAAGCTCACGCAACACTTCCGTGCTCCATCCTGTGTGAAGTGGACGGCCCCGCTTGCATCCGCCGCACCTGTTCAACTACCTGGACCTGAGCAGCCACTCAGTAACTGTGCATGGTTTAAGTAAAGAGCAGGGACTTCCATCTGGAAGGGGTTGAGCCTGGGAGATAACAGGACATCCAGAGGCTCACAGGAGTGAGCAGGTGGCATTGGTCAGGCCACGAATGAGACAGAGAGAGAAGTGAGAGGTCTCAGCTGGGTTGTCCAATTGTGGTCAACAGAAGAGTTGTGTAGGGACCGTAAGTCTAGAGAATGATGCCAGATTGTGAACCTGGGGTCAAAACAGAGAACAGGCCTGGGATATGCTTGTGTGTCAAGAAAGGGCCCAGGAGCGGAGGGCAGAACCTAGGCCTTGGCAAACCACACTCTGGGATTGATCCTGCCCCCTTACCCCTCATCCTATCTGCAACATAGAAACAATAACACCTTCTATTCTGGCCATCTATTGCTATGTCTCCAAGCAGCTCAGAACTTAGTGGTGTAAAACAGCAGCCATGTGCTCGCCTGGGCAGCACATATACTAAAATTGGAACGACACAGAGACGATTAGCATGGCCCCTGAGCAAGGATGACACGCAAATCCATGAAGCATTCCATATTTTTCTGCATGGGTGCAAATAGTTGAAATCTCTACTTAGTATGGAGTTGGTCTTCTGTATATAAAGTCATTTAAAAATGAATCTTAATGGAAAATGGAGTGGGAGAGGGAGTAGGAGGTGGGATGGGAGTGGGGGTGGGAGGGTGAGAATAGGGGGAAGAAACACTATATCCCTAAAAGCTGTACATATGAAAATTTGTATTCATTAAATAAAAACCTTCAAAAATGAATAAAACAGCAGCATTTTATTGTGTCTCACAATTCTGGTCAGGGCTTGGCTGGGTGGTTCTTCTGTTCCATGTGGCATCATGGAAGTCACTGGGGGGTGTGCAGCTGCTCTGGAAGGTGTGAGGTGGCATCACTCACAGGTCTTGAGCTCTAGCCAGGTAATTGGCACACTGGCTCAGCTGACACAGTCAGCACACCTATGCCAGGATGTCCCACCATGGTGGAACTCTTTATTAGATTAGTTGAACTTCTTGTGTTGCTTCAGGAAACAGGAAACAGCTTCCCCGCTTTTCATGGCCAGGGCTTCCACTATACTAAATTGCTGAAAGAACAGCTGTCCCTCAGTGGTGTCCACAGGGGATTTGTTCCAGCATCTCTCCCTGCAACCATGTATAGCAAGGGAAAGTCTTCTGGGGGCCTCTCAAAACTTGCATTGTTCGTGAGCAGGAACATGGGAGACGACGCCGTGTACTAACATGGAATTGTCAATGAAGGTTCTTGGTTTCCTGCAGCCACGGATACCAAAATGCTCAGATGCTCAAGTCCCCTGTATAGAATGCCAAAGTGTTTGCACATAGCCCACGTACATTCCTCTATACTTTTACCATCTCTGGATTACTTACAATACCTAATACAATGGAAACGCTATGCAAATCATTGTTATACTCTATTGTTTGGGGAATGATCATGAGAAAGAAGAAAGTCTGTACATGTTCAGTACAGACACAATATTTTTAAAAATATATTTTCAGGGCCAGTGTTGTGGCACAGCAGGTTAATTCTTTACCTGCAATGCAGGCATCCCACGTTGGAGTCCAGGTTCACGTCTCAGCTGTTCTTCCAATCCAGCTCCCTGCTAATATTCTTAGGAAAGCAGCAGAGGACAGCCCAAGCGCTTGGGCCCCTGAGACCTATGTGGGAGACCCAGATGGAGTTCCAGACTCCTGGTCTTGGCCTAGTCCAGCCCTGGCTGTTGCAGCTATTTGGGGAGTGACCCAGTGGATGGAAGAACTCTCCCTTTCTCCATCTCTACCTCTGCCTTTTTTTTCTTAAAAGATTTTATTTGGCCGGCGCCACGGCTCACTAGGCTAATCCTCCGCCTAGCGGCGCCGGCACACCGGGTTCTTGTCCCGGTCAGGGCGCCGGATTCTGTCCCAGTTGCTCCTCTTCCAGGCCAGCCCTCTGCTGTGGCCAGGGAGTGCAGTGGAGGATGGCCCAGGTGCTTGGGCCCTGCACCCCATGGGAGACCAGGAAAAGCACCTGGCTCCTGGCTCCTGCCATCGGATCAGCGCGGTGCGCAGGCCGCAGTGCGCTGGCCGCAGCGGCCATTGGAGGGTGAACCAATGGCAAAGGAAGACCTTTCTCTCTGTCTCTCTCTCTCACTGTCCACTCTGCCTGTCAAAAAATAAAATAAAATAAATTAAAAAAAAGATTTTATTTATTTTTTTGAGAGGTAGAATTACATACGAGAGAAGGAGAGACACAGGGAAAGCTCCTCCATCCACTGGTTCACTCCCCAAGTGGCTGCAATGGTAAGAGCTGGGCCCATTCTTTTGGGTCTCCCATGTGGGTTCGGGGCCCAAGCATTTGGGCCATCTTGCACTGGGAAACCAGGGCATTAGTGAGGAGCTGGATGTGAAGAGGAGTAGCCAGGAAATGGACTTATGTCCATATGGGATACTGGTGCTGCAGGTGGGGGCTTACCCTACAATGCCACAGTACTGACCCCTCTCCCTCTGTCTTTGTCACTCTGCCTTTCAAATAAATAAAATGAATCTTTAAATCTTTATATATAGATTCTTGAATCTTCAGATGAGGTTGAATCTTCAGATGAGGAACCTGCAAATACTGAGCACCAGTTGTATACCTAAGACTACCTAGATGCAAGAGGAAGGGAGACAGACCCCAAGTCTTTACCGGAAAAGCAGTACAGAATTTGTAGCCATGTTGAAAACTGCAGCCCTTCCGCACGTGAAGATTCAATGGAAAGCATTTAGCACAGTTTCTGGCGTGCAGTAGGCACTTACAATGTTGGTGACTTTTCTCCATCTTATACTCTTGGGTAGAAGAATAAACCAAGTTTATGACCAGGGATTTCACAACAAGAAGGCTTGTATCAGTTAGGAAGCTTTAGTCACAAGTAACAGCAAACTAACATAAAGTGCCTTAAACAATGAACTCATTTATTACCTTACACAACAAGGAGGCTGGGGTTGGAATGATTCCAGAGTGGAGCATTTAGTTGCCCAATTGTATCGTCTCTCCATTTTTTCACCCTCAGCCTGTTAACTGACCCTCATAAGAAAGACTCCCTCATAGTCCCAGGCTGGCTGCTGCAGCTCTGAGAATCACATGAAACCAAGAACATTCATTGACAGTTCCATGGGAATGCACGGTGTAGGCTCCCATGTTCCTGTTCACGGGCAGTGCAAACTCTGGGAGGCCCCCAGAAGACCTTCCCTTGCTACACATTGGTCTATGGCCAAATCATTCACTGGGCAAGAATGAGACCACTATGATTGATTTAGAGCAAAGTTTTCACTCCTCCAGGCTTCCCGAAAAGCTCTGGTCACTTGGACCAGGTTAATACAATCCAGATCCCAGTAATGAGGGAAAAGGGAGAGAATGGCCACTGAGGAGAAAGGCGACAGCGACTTCCACAGTCCACACCGTGGTTCAGGCATCACATCCGTCCTCCTGCACATGGTCTGCCCATGTGGCAGGCACTGGTCAGGGTCCAGAGCCTGGGGATTCTCCTGGTGAGCATTAGAGGTCATTCCCTCGGAGGTCAGGTGAGAGGGAGAGCAGAGAACGAGGGGAAGAAGATGAAATACAGGAGCAGACATCTAAACCTGCGACATCTGGGCCACTGGTTGGATGAGGACCCGGAAAGGCAAAGGGACAGCCATTGCGGCAAAGAGCATGGCAGTTTCTCCAAAACTAGAGCTGCGTCCACCCTGTGATCCAGCGAGCCCACTTTGGCATATGCTCAGAGGAACGGAAATCAGTGTGCGCTGAAGTTATGTGCGCTTGCCTCCTTTTCGCAGCCCTGTTCACAACAGGCAAGGACAGAGTCTCAACCCAAGTGTTCATCAACCGATGAATGCGTCACAACAATCTCGAACATCCGCAAAGGAGCATTTTTGAAAACGCAGGCATTTCTATCATTTGTGACAGCATGGATGAACTTAGAGGACGTTGTGTCACATGAAATAAGCCAGACATAAAAGGACAACTCTGTATGATCTCACTTAAGTGTGCAACTTAAAAAAAGTCAAACTCATAGATGTAGAAAATGGAATAATGGTTACCAGGGGCTGGAGCTGGGGGGCAGGTGTGGGTGGGGAGATGAGGGAGAGGAGGATGGGGACAGGGGAGACATTGATCAATGGGTACAGAGTTCCAGTTAGACAGGAAGAGAAAGTTCCGGTGTCCTGTTGCACAGCATGGTGACTTTAAATAGCTAATAAGATATAAATATTTTCACCACAAAGAAATAATAAATATTTGAGGTGCTAGATATGCTAATTAGACTAAACTGATCATTCAACCATGCAAACATATATCAAAGCATTACATTGTGTCACACACACACACACACAAGTACTACTTGTCACTCACAAACAAAATACAACTTGAGAAGAAAGAAAAGGCAAAGGGACCAGATGCTAGCCAACCTTTCTTTCTTTCTTTTTTTTAAAGATTTTTATTTATTTATTTATTTGACAGGTAGAGTTACAGACAGTGAGAGAGATAGAGAGAAAGGGCTCCCTTCCATTGGTTCACTCCCCAAGTGGCCGCCATGGCCGGAGCTATGCTGATCCAAAACCAGGAGCCAGGTGCTTCTCCTGGTCTCCCATGCAGGTGCAGGGCCCAAGCACTTGGGCCATCCTCCACTGCCTTCCCGGGCCACAGCAGAGAGCTGGCCTGGAAGAGGAGCAGCCAGGATTAGAACCCGGTGCCCATATGGGATGCCAGCGCCACAGGTGGAGGATTAACCTAGTGTGCCATCGTGCCAGCCTCCAACCTTTCCTTTCAGCCATGATTTAAGTCTCCTGGGCCAGGCCAGAACTGGGATTGGTAAGGAGGTCGAGTTGAACATGTAAGTAGGAGATGCTATCTCTACTTTGATCTAAGAGAGAGGGAGGAGACAGAAAGTTTGACTTTTCTGGCCCCATGCTTTACTGAAATCTGGGGACAGCAGCTTTTGAAGTCTTTCAGGAGTCCCAGAGCTGAAGTGCTAAGAATCACCCCACTAGTCCCTGACCTGATTTCCCTTTGCTCCTAGAAAGACTCAACCCCGTAGCCAAGGCCTTGAGTATGATTGTGCAGGTGCTCCCTGGACAAGGCCACTTGGCTTCGGCCACGCGCTATGGTCTCTGTCCAGAGGGTGCCTCTTCTGCTGCCAACGAGCTTGCAGCCAGGTATGGATCCAGCCCTTGCTCTGTGTCCGTTTTCAGTTTGCAGCCTAGTCCTCCAAGGGTTCTGTGCTCTCTCCCACTGGCTTGCTCCTGCTTCCCCTACACACTGTTGTCTGCAGCTCCAGAACAAGCCACGCCAATATTCAGTGGCTTAAAATGATGATGACAATATTTGTTTTGCTCACAAGTCTGCAATTTGGGCAGCACTTGCCCCACTTGGCGTCTGCTGCAGTGGCTTCAAGGCTGTGGCTGGAATCCTCCGAGGGCTCTGCCCTCCCCTGCCTGTTGTGCCATCCACCGAGGCTTTCCAGGAGGCTGTGAGGCCGCTCACAGCACAATGGCTGCATCCCAGGATC